TTCAGCTCAAGGCGAGCGCTCTACCACTTGAGCTACAGCGCCACTTCCGGTTTTCTAGTGGTTTATTGGAGATAGGAGTCTCACAGTCTTTCCTGCCCGGGCTGGCTTTGAACCACGATTCTCAGATCTCAGCCTCCTGAGTAGCTAGGATTACAGGCGTGAACCACCAGCACCCAGCCTACTTGGAACTTTTTAAGTTAACTTCTGGCACTATTCTTTGATACCGAGTTGTAATATCCAACTTCTTGATAATTGGAAACAGAACCTAAAATATAGATAACATTGATGGTGATGAAGCAGAATTGGATATAAATGTTTGGAAACTCTCTTCACAGCCTTTTCTCTTAGCATCTGATCATGTTTTCAGCTAACCCTTTAAGAAAAGCCTTGTATCAAAAGGAAAATTCAGTTATCTTTCTGAATATGCAATTTCTTGGAAACTGGTTAACAGTAATAAAGATAATAGTTCAATGGCAGAAATGTATGGCTTCAAGTAAAATTCTCTCATTGTAGCCTGTCACTCTTGCCACTTAATTCCAAACTTTGACAAAATTTATTATTAAAAATACAGCAAGATCTTTGTAACAAAAATATCCCTCCATGTATATATGCATATGTGTGTGTTTTTTATAAGAGGCAGAGTTAGTGCATCTAGTGTACATATGGGACTAGATAGAGGATATTATTGGAAAAACTCGAAATCCAAATAAAGTCTGTGGTTTATAGTTTCATACTGATGTTAATTGTTAATTCCTTAATTGTAGTAGATATTCTGTAATTGTATAAAATATTAACATTAGAGGAAGCTTGGTGAACTGTTTGTGGGAACTATATAGTCTTTATAATTCTTCCATAAGTCTAATTTATTCAGAATAAAAAGTTAAAAAGCTGGGTATCAGTGGCTCATGCCTGTAATCTTAGCTACTCAGGAGGCTGAGACTTGGGGATCATAGTTTGAAGCCAGCTCAGGGAGGAAAGTCTGTGAGACTCTTATTTCCAGTTAATCACAGAAAAAGCTGGAAGTTGTGCTGTGGCTCAAGTGGTAGAGCACTAGCCTTGAGCAAAAGGAGCTCAGTGATAGCACCCAGGCCCAGAGTTCAAGCCCCAGGACCAGCAAAAATTAAAATTTTATGCTTCTATACAAGTATCATCAAAGTTAGATAATAATCACTTCTACAGAAAAAAGGGTGGGATTGTGATAGAAGAGGGACATATCAAGTCTTCTGGAGTGTCTATATTCACAGTTAAAGAAATTAGATGGGGCTGGGAAGTTGGCTCAGTGGTAGAGTGCTTGCCTTGCATGCATGAAGCCCTGGGTTCGATTCCTCAGCACCACATAAGCAGAAAAAAGGCGGAAGTGGCACTTTGGCCCAAGTGGTAGGGTGCTAGCCTTGAGCTGAAGAGCTGAGGGACAGCGCCCAGGCCCAGAGTTCAGCCCCCACAACCGACCAAAAAAAAAATATATATATATATATGGAGAGACAGAAGAAGAAGAAGAATAGGTATCATTTCTGTTTAATAGGACTGAAAATTAGTAGGGGGGAAGTATTTGTTATGTTTGCATTTCTTATGGAATTTGAGAGGACCATTTTGAGGGAGTAGCAGTAGGGTTTCAGATATGAAATGTTACTTCTCTCATTCATCATGAATTTGTATAATTTGTTTAGGGGGAAACATTGAAGAACAATGATCCTTTTGCTCCTGGTGGAACAGTTGTTATTGCAGCAGCTGATTCAGGTAAAGAAATTTACCAGTGTTAAGGAATGTTAAATGTTACCCTTTAAGCTTTTTTTCCCCAAAATATTTTTTATTAATTTTGGCTTTTGAATTGTAGTATGTTATTTCTAATTATAATTTTCTATCAATAATAGTGACCAGTGTTTGTTTACCATTTTTTAGTTTGCTTGTTATTTATGATCTCATTTATTCATGTTAAAGGTCTTTGTAGAATATATACTCCATCCAATCAATATCAGTAAAACCAATAAGAGCTGTTTGCTTTATAAAAGGTAGTATTGCTTTGCATCTTCAAAGTCAACATTGACTCTTAAGGAACCTTGGCCTAATTTAAAGGCTTCCAGATAGTAAAAATTGTTTTGAAAATACAAGAAAAAATCTGTTAATAATACAGAGAAAAAATTAATATTCTTCTAGTATCCTGTCTTCATACTCCATTTATATTATCTAATATTCATTTAGCAACTCTTTAAGTAATATTTCCATTTTAAACATCAGGAAACTAAGAATCAGAACAATAAGTAACGATCAAAATTATTCAGCTTATTATTATTATTATATTTGAGCCAGATAAACCAGTCAACTAAATTTGAAACCTAGGTCTAATGGAACCTTAAAGCTAGATCTTATGGAATCTAACAGAATCTAAAAGCTCTTTTCAGCTGAACGCTGGTGGCTCACACCTGTAATCCTAGCTACTCAGGAGACTGAGATCTAAGCATCATGGTTCAAAGCCAGCTTGGGCAGGAACATCGTGAGACTCTTATCTCTAATTAACCACAAGAAAACCAAAGTGACTCTTTAGATCAAAGGGGTATAACACTAGCTTTGAGTGAAAAAGCTTAGGGACAGAGGCCAGACCCTGAGTTCAAGCCCCATGACTAACAAAAACAAAAAAAGCTTTTTTTTTTTTCAACTAAGTATGCTTCTTTCCCACTGTTCATTGAAAAATAAAACAGGTAAGCAGGCTAGCTATTATGTAAGAAAAGCAAATCAAAGAAAAGCAAACTCAAATGTCTAAATATTTCAATCTCATGCTGCAAGTAGAAAGCTTTCTTTTCCCAGATTGCTGATTATAGCAGAGTAAGGATTATAAGCATAGAAAGAATATTAGAAATGCCCTAGCAAATTGGATTTTTTATATTGAACAAATTTTAAGGAGATTTAGCACAATGTGATAATTTGTTTTCAAGTTGGAAGTAACTCCCAACATGAGTAGCAAGAGTGAGGAATGTAAGATTTAGTGTAAGGCCAAATATTGATTTAAACAGAAACTTGGAGAAAACGAGAATTCCAAAAGACTTACTGTATTAACACTGGTTATGTCTTTTGAAACTATGTGGCTGACACTCAGTGGCTTATGCCTGTAAATCCTAGCTACCCAGAAGACAAAAACTGATAGGATCTTGATTTGAGTTTAACCCAGGCAAAGGTTTCCAACCAATCAAGTCTATGCATAGTGTGTGCCTGTTACCTCAGCTATGAGAGAAGCATAAATAGGAAGATCCCAGTCCAGGCCTGCTTGAGCATAAATGCAAGAACTTACTTGAAAAATAACAAAAACACTGGAAGAGAGCAAGGGAACAGAATATAAAAGGAAATGTGCTCATTACCTGACTCATGTAATCCCTCCAAACATCACCTCTATAATAACAATAAAGTAAATTAATGATGAAAGAAAAATAACAAAAGCCAGAAGAGCTAGGATGTGGCTCAAGTGGTAGAATGCCTGCCTAGCAAGCACAAGGCCTTAATTTCAAATCCTAGTACTACCTCCCCCTTCAGAATACTTTTTTTTACTTTTTGGTCGGTCGTGGGGCTTGAAC